AAGATAAAAAAACCAGAACAGTTTAGTCTGAAATAATACTGGCTCTAATAAAAAACCCCAGTCTTCGACTACTGACAATCTCTGATCATCCAAGAGTAGGAGAAGAAAAAACCCCCAAACTTCAAAAAATCCTCCATGCTCCTATCTTATGGACGGTGTCTATATCCACCATCTCACTTAAAAGCCTGGTTCCCTTAGCCTGCCTTTGTTTATCTGACAGCAAAACTGCTCCAAAGCTGGCTCCGGATTTAGTCTGAGCTAATTAATAGTAAGGTTCGCATAGCCTTTCACCTACCCTCACCCTCGAGGACTTAGTAGCAAGCTTAGGAGCTGCACCTCTCCCCCTGCAAACAGTAACACAAACTCTTGCCTCAAGGGCCTATTGCTTATGCCGGGTCCATCAAGCCTAGACATTTAAACCGGGTGCTGTGCTGCCGCACCAGCTTTGTCTAATCAACTAAACAGAAATAACGGGACTCCTAAATGCAGAACTTGGTCTACGGACTTTTGAAACATAATAAATTCCAGGGGAGCAGGTTTTTCAAATATCACATTTTTTGAGAAAAATCTTGCCTTGTACTGAGCAGTTATATGCAGTGTCTAAAAACTAAAATCATGCCATATTTCCTTTACCACAAGTTATTGTAACTTCAAAAGGAAGTTTACCATGCAATGCAATGGAATGGAAACCTATCTTTCTCTAAGCAGAAAGAAAAGTAATTTGCAAAAAGTATCTGTAAGTATTAAAATGATCCAATTTCCTTTGTCATGCTACAATTGACAATATAAATAACTCAAAGAATTGAAAAATGGAAAGCCAAGGAAGGGAATTTTCTTAAATCATTAAGTTTAAAGTTATTTTATTCCATTTCATAAAAACTTACATATGCATGTTCTCTTTCTGTCAATATGGTCAGAATTGACAGCGGTTCTCAGAGTCTAATACATCTTTTGTACAGGCATTCATTCCAAGTTTGCCAAATTGGTAGTTTGAAACAAAGATTTGCCTTCCAGACATCTTATTCAGACCGATCACGCAGTACAATTCAGATGTAAATGGTATTACCATACCTACTACTACAATTCAGGAGAAAGTGTTTTACAATCTTTAAAGTTACTTTAAAATGAGATGGAAAATATATGGAGGGTGTTTTAGTATTTGCCACTGAAAAGTCAGTGGCTACATAGGGAAAAGGAGGAAGCAATTTGACTGGTATATGCAACTGGTACAGCTTGGGAAGGAATGGACAGAGAGAGGAAAAAAACCAGTATGTTTCTGGAGGCTAGCAAATGCCTGCAGAGATCAGGATGCAAACACAATCATCAGAACTTGGAACGGAACCTAAAATGTGTGCTTCCCAATACAAATTCTTTTGTCCAGCAAGCTGCCATGAAACTACCAGCAGAGAGTGTGCTCTGGGGAATGCATGAGGTAAGACTATTTTTTAATAAAGCAGACTGAAAAAGAAGATACTTGAGAGAGGAAAAAAAAAAGAAAAAGAAGTCTATTAAGCTCATAAAAGCATGGATAAAAAGTTAGAAAATGCTAAAACTGAAGGTACACATTCAAATGACATACAGTCCCTTTGTGAAAATGCTTTATGATCCAGAATTTATTTAAACAATTAAACACACAGACACGGCCTTGCAGGAGTTCTGACTCCGTGTAGTAACTGTATGGACTTGGACCTGGAAATTAATTCAGTTTATGTGTAAGCTTATGCAATGTCTATAGGATTTCTGGCTCATTTGTTGAAGAAATTAGAAGGCATATAATAAAAGCAGTTTTGCAAATCGAATTTTGAAAATAGAGAAAGGCTTATCAACTGAATATCATTCCAGATAACTGAATTCTCACATAAATCTAAGTCATTTACCACACACTTTTCACCAATCGCAAATAACTGTGTTCATTTTCTAGATGCCAACCCTGTATGAAGCTGACGCTAGAGTTCTCAGTAGCTCTGAAAACCTTAGCTACACTTAAAACCAAGAAAGACTGTGTTTTAAACTTCTGCTATAGAAGTAACAAGTGTTCTGAAAAATTGTATAGTAAGCTTCTCCTGCAAAATAGATTTTTGGTGATTTTGACACAAATCGCTCTGTGCATTAGACTCCTATGTATAAAACTAAAATTACAATATCAGTTTCACAAGTGTGTTGTGAGGATGAATTAATCAGCGTCTGTGAAGCACTCAGTAAGGCCATAAAAAAAAAAAAAATCTCACGATGAAATTAGTAACTCAAGGGAATGCAGAGCTAAGCTGAAGTATGGTAAATAAGACCTCAACCCCTACACTGAATGGTAAGGATAAAAATGGAACTCTGAATACTTTCCATTCAGTGAATAGCACTCATTTTTCTCTTGAATGGAGCAGAGATCCTGTGGAAAAAAACTGCTATACAATCATGAGAAAGCCATTTGTAATTCATTACTCTGTTCTATATTTGATTCTGATTAATGTTTTCTTTTCCTTTTCACATGATTTTTCTTTTATTCCCATTTATAGTCCTTTTTCATATTTTTTTCTAAACAGAACATGGTGTCAGCAAAATTGATTATAAGGAACTTTCCAACCTAACATGTTATAGCGCCTTCACAATTAGGCACAGAAAACTCAGTTATTTGCTGTGACTTCACTTTATCAAAAAATAAACCAAAAAAAAAGACGGGCAATTTTGATTGCAGTATTTGTCTCACGTCCTCTGTCAGCAGTGCCTGCTTACTGCAGTTTTGTTGGCTATAAACTTATGGGTACGCTGCAGATGGAGAACTTCACCATGGTTCTTCCACCCAGTGACAGAGTCCAGCCTACAGCATTATTACAGCACGGGCCCTGTCTGCCTCCTGTTCTGTTAGAAAAGAGGGTGGTCTGGAGGAAAGCATGGACCTCATGACAGGCCACAACGATACAGCCAACAACTCTCGTCTTGGTCCCTCATGCCTTAAAGGTTTAAATCATACTCCAATACTTTATGATAAGCTGCTTAGACAGTATACCATTCATACCCAAGAACTCCTGAAAGACACCTGCCTAATATTGCACACCATTAAGTTTTCAGCTCACTGTCCGACACGCCATTTTTGAAGCAGGATACACGCCTTCTGTCCTCCACCAGCCTACACCCTTGTCCTAGATCTAGAGCTAGCACTTTATGGGACACACGAGCAACGCCAAGCCCTGCTGGATATGCTCCATCATCTCTGAGGAAAATACATCCTGTCTGTGTTCATGTTCTCTTCAGCACTGATAGTGAACTTTCCTCTAAGTAGACCAGCGGAAATCCATTACATTTCTGGACAGAAAGGAAAGCTATACAGAGACCCAGACTGCTAGCATGCAGGATGTAGTAGTCTTAATGCAAGTTGAAAGCACCGGGAGATTGACAGCACATATACTACACAAGCTGTAAACGATACTGACCTGGGATTTCCTGGATATCCCTGCACTAACTCAGAAATCAGACCGAGAGAAGAAACTGGGCCACAAAAGGAACACATTTGGCTACTGGGATGCAGCAGCACAGCAAGCAAATTGTATCTGTCTTCAGGATTAAGTACTGGGCTAAGCATCTGCGATGCCACAGAATTAAAATTAAATGTGTTTTATGCTGTTGTAATGTTCTTTGTTGACTAAATCAGTCTAAGAATAAAGTAAACTTATGTTGTCGTACCAACCCCCCTCATGTTATTAAATTACATCATTCTCAAATTAATATGCACACCTCAAAATAATTATGCTCTTGTAACTTTGACAGGATTTGCATATGATGTTCATTGCTATTCAATGACAGAACAAAAAGTAAGATATTGAAACAATACAAAACATCTCAACTAACAGAAATTTAAAATAAATCTGTAAATCATGCTGATCTACAAACAAGAAACATGCCACAACGTGTATAGTGACACTCAAATGTGTTTTAATTTGTCAGTTCTGGAATTTTCTGCAGATAAGCCTCATGGCTACCAATTTCTCTACCCACTTCCCCTTTTTTCCTCCTGCAACAGCTTCTTCCAACCCAAGAACAACATTCCTGGATCCTTCCTCTTGAGGGGGGGGAACCCGAGAAGGCAGCTGAAGACAGTATAAGAGATCGTACTGGGAAAAGTAGCCTGCCTCTCGAGGAGAACGTGGAAGAACATCCCAGTGCCTGCAGTGCCACCTTACACTCTAGCTTTTATTAGGACCTTAGGTTTCCAAGTACAATCCTCCTATAGCCTACCAATATCAGAATTGTTGTAAAGTAGGGGGCTACAGAGGGGAGACAGAAATCTTTACCCACTGAATCCTAAAACTTCACAAAAATCCCTTGTCCAAGAAATGTAATGGCACATTAATACTTAAAAGTGGTAGCCAAATAAATATTAGACTATCATCTCTGCAGAACATTTTAATAGAATAGTGTGACCCATTACTCACGCAGGGCAGCTGGGATGTTCAGAAGACACCTAACCAGTCTGCTCAGTGAACAACAATTTACGAATATAAGGGATTTATTTTGTTTCTGGGATGATACTTCTAAAAGTTTTATTTGAACTGAATCATTAGGGACACTTATAACTATTTTTATGCAAGCCCAAGAAACATACCTTCCACTAATCATTTTCAAAGCATATTAATTAATGATATTTAGTTAATTTTATTTGTGCATGTATGTATTTGGGGATTAATTTGGTACATTCCAAAAACTACAATATGGCTATCAAAGGACTATAACTTTTCTTTAGCTGCTCCTATAGTTACCACAGTTGCACATGAAGCCCTAGGTAAAACAGGTTTTAATTAAAAAAAAAAATTACAATCCCTTTGATTTATATAAATGTTAATTAAATCAGTTTCAGAAATCTGATTCAGCTTACCAAAAAAGAAATAGTCGGACACTGCATGAAAATACATTTTGATTTCTTGACAAATTAAAAAAAGAAATCACCTTAAAGAACTGAGGCTTGTATTCTGTATTCTAACAGTTAAACTTTAAACTGCTTTGCTACTTACCAAACCCTCACTGGGCATAATGCTGGTGAGATGAACTACCTCAAGATGGGCTGACTGTGACACCAGAGAATCAGATGAGAGCGAAATGATGTGGTCACAAATCCCAGACAAGGTTTTACACTACGAAGAAAAACAAGTCAATATAATTCCTCATATTAAACTGAAACTACTAGCAAAGACATTCTTATTCTGAGAACTACCCAAGAATAAACAGATAATTTTATTTCTTTGTATTGTTAAAAACTACAGGTGTATGAAGGTCAAGAACAAGAGGTTAAAGGAACAGAAGATATCCATAAATGTCAAGAAAATGTACATGCATGTACAGCTCTTCTGAACAGAAGATTTTACTGTGCACTGAGAACATCCATAATCTAAACTGTCTTCCCCACTCCAACTATATGCACTTTAAAAAAAAATACCTGATGAACTTCATCTTATCTGTCATTATCACGTATCATTATAAATACAACGGAAGTCGAATGAAATATGTAAAAAATAAATGTCTTATACACCAACTTAATAACCTATTTTGGCTACCAAATAATGAGAGCAACCCTACCAAGAGTGATGATTAGGTGAATTCTGCATTATACAACTCAGAAAATTTTTCCTTTGTTAAAAATTACACTGGCAGAAAAGTGTCTCGGTTAATCCATTTCCTGAGGTAAAATTCTTCTGCATCTTTGAACACATCCTTTAACTGATACTCTAGATCACTACAACTATGCAATAATTGTATGTTATCCTTCCTTCCAGCTAAAGATCTCAAAACCTTAATGCCAATCCACAGGAACACCTTCAAAGTAGGAACCCCATTCCATAGGTGGTAGCAGTGATACTGACAGATTAAACCTATCCATCAAAGGCAAACTGTAAGTCTATAGATCAGAAAGGAGCTGATCTGTACTCTCAGAGAATCTTCATGAGTAAAGATTTATTCCCAAGTTTGCATGTGTTGCTTGAAGTGTTCCTTCAAAAAGACTATGCCTAAAAATATTTGAACCTAATCTAAAAGCATTCATTTAGATGAATTTCACAATGGTATTCTGGTCAAAGTTGTTTTGTATGCATCTATTTTCCTTTAGGGACTATACTCTCATTTTCCCTAATTATAGCAAATGGTAGTGAAATCCCTTAAGGGAAGTTTTATTTCAGGCATTTGCAAAAGCATGAGGATTTCTACTATCTCATTTGACACTATACATATAAGTTAAATAAATAAAGTTGTCACAATGAATAAATTAACTGGCTGAATTTACAGATTATATTTCCATTCACCATATAGTCAGTCATCTGGAAATCCAAGTATAGCTCTGGACTACTGGATGTGGCAGTTGTATTTTGTATCAGCTGAAAGATGCAAAGCATCCCATTCAGGTATGCATGACTGCATCTAAAGGTCACCAAAACCCAGAAATATTTCTAGCAGTTTCAGCTTTCGGCCAGAACCCCTAAACAAAACTTTAGGACCTGTCTTCTTCCCCCCGAGATAAGGAAACTGGTTTGCTCAAAAAATGTATTGTACTGCTATTCTACATAGGAACTGATGGTTGACGCTGTCTGTCAGTATATGCTTTCACCCAGCTTTTGAATTAATGTCATACCAAAACATTAGTATGATTTCAAACTGAGGTCCTCCCTTACGCCTTAACACTTAAGATCATATGTACAGATTAGATGCAGACTAAATCCCAGAGACAACACTTTCTACTTTCTGATGTAGTGTTTTAACTTTACAGTTGTCACATGCAAATACTTTTTCAGTAAACAAACTTTGGAATGAAATAAACAGGAAAGAAGTTTTCAATCAAATCTACTCTTATGAATCTTTAAGATTGCCTCATCATTCAGAAAGTTAATTAAAATCTATGTAGGATTTTAGCACCAGGAAAATACTGAAGAAAATTATATTGAATAATTAAAAATATCAGTTTGCTCTAAAAGTCGTTCAGCAGATACAAGAGAGGCCTGACATCAGTTGTAAACAATGCAAAGGCGGAGATAGTATAAATGGGAGAACTGAGCAGAATTTATGAATAATAGCACAGGGTCAGGAAGTAACCTTTGATATGGCACTGTCAGCATGAGATGATACTTTAACATGCGCTAAAGTATTTTTGGCATAAAAAAAGTCTTGTGTACTAGTTCCAAAACCACAGAGAAGCAAGGTACATACTCTCCAGATGGCGCAATACTACCACACTTGAGAAAATCTCAAACAAAAATGGATTCTTCAAGAAGTTCAGTACCTGTTGCAGAAGAACTCTACATACAGTTTTACAGGCCGTCCAACACCCAAAACCCATTTATTACATTTCTTTCAATGGGCCATGACAAGAACAGAATCTCTAGGAAACCACTAAGTCTTGAACAAGACATACAAACTTATACGTCACAAAAAGTATTTTTAGTATGGCAGCCACTGCTGGGTATGTACAATGAATATAAGTTAATAATCTGTATTTACTGTTGAGAGAAAGAACAACTAGCAGGCTGTAATTTTTAATTATCATAGGTATACCATATTAGTCTAAAGAACTGACGCAGTCCTGATAACCACCTTTTGCTAAGTAGATATAAAAAAAAAGAAACCTGACTCTCAGACATGCAGTTTAAGTGGTCCTGAAGATCACTCCTTCATAATTTATCTTTTCCCATAATACCTGAGTTGCAGAGTAGACACAGTCTAGTCATATGACTGGTGAGGGAATGGCAGCTGTGCACCTGCAACCACATCATCTGAGCACACGCCACCCTAGTGTGGAGTTCTTCCAAACAAATCTACACCTCAGTGAATCTCTCCAGTAACCGATGAAGAAAGTCAATCATGGATCATCATTTTAGAAATCTGTCTTTAACTTCTAAATGTATCTTTCTTAATACCTTTCAGAAATAACACAAAAGGCCACATGGTATTTAAGAGTTATAGATTCTCTCTCTTACAAATGTAAAATTGTACTTTAGAGCATCACAATTATTTTTCTTGAGTATTTTCTTTAATTTAATTTTCTTTTTTTTTTATTTTTAGAAATAAAGTGACCATAAAAGAAATGAACAATTTACAAAGTTTATTCTTGAATTCAGTATCCTTGAAGTAATTTTTTTTAAGATGCTGTGAGAAAGATTCTTCTCACTTCACCCCGAGTTACGATGATAAGCAGGTTGATTCTCAGAGCCTGGATGCTCTGGATCAGGTAGTATCAGGTGATTTTGCTCTGGCTAAAATGAGTTCTACTACCTTGGGATCCAGGCTCTTTAAGGTTCATCACACTTTCACTGCTGAGCCTATGGGATACTTAAAAACTGAAACTTTTCTCTCTTCTCTTCTAGCTTTTCAGGCTTCCATCCAAAACTGGTAGAACAGTAAAAGGTAACATT